TGTGAAATAGCAGTAAAATATTTGATTTTTACTGCATCTACAGAACCCACAATCCATGAAAATGTATGCTAAATAAAGTTAGTCTTTAAGATACCACAATATTCCTTGTTTTTGTAATGAAAACAACAGTTCAGCGTATCTTCCAGCCTTAAGTCCCCTCTCACATTTTTATTTAATTGCTTCATATTTCGTTCGTCTGAAATGTGTGCATATATAACACAGTCAAGAGGAAACTTTTAAAAAATCCTAGAGCAAGCTAGCTTTATCCCGTTTATGAGTGATTAGAGTGAAGGCGCTTTAGCTCTACATACTGGGTGTTCGTTCCTATCAGGCTGAATCCCAACTGTTTAAAACATTTGTTTTCTGAGAACTTGACACTGAATATTAAACTGTACATGCATGGTAACTCTTTAGGCTCAAAAGACAAAGGAGGTCATTCAGAGCATATCTATATATCTATAGCTATTCCAAATGGCCTTCTTTTTCTTTGTTTTATATAAAATCATGATTGAGTCCCTGAATGCCAAGATAGTTTTTAATGTTTTACATGTTTTTAATTACTCAATGAATTTAATCAGTTCTATTGTTTGTTTTTAATGAATATCTTATTGCGTTTAATCTATACCTTTCTGTGTTTTTAATTCTATTCTTTTTAATACTGTCAGCTGCTTTGAATCCTCTTATTGGAAGAAAGGCAGCCTATAAATAAGACAAACAATATACCTTCCTGAAATACAATTGAACCAGAACTACTAGGTATGCAGAGTGCATGGATTGCTTCTATGTAAACATAGGTGTGATATAACGGTTTTGAGAAAAATATGTATTTATTTCAGTTAAATTTAAATTCTACCTTTCTTCAACAACCCAAAAGCAAACATGCAGTTTCTTCATCCCTTTCCCCAAAATGTTTGTCTTCACCATAGGATGAGACCACTCAGATCATTCAGTAAATTGAATGGCTGGATGGCGTTTGAACTCCCAGTCTAATCTGATGCTGTAATCACCGTACAGTACTGACCCTCTCAGACTGTGGTAGTACATCTTTTGGCACTGACATAGTACCAAAATGTTAGATTCTATCACCTGGAGAAATAATTATCTACAATCTCATGCACATGTTGTAGAATTCAGTACATTTGGGATGTATAAAAGCCAAGCACCACTAGTGTCTCATATATGTACGCAATTGCTTAATCCTTAATTTCTGTGTTCAGTCTCTCATGTAATGTCTATTACATGTACCCACATCAATAATTTAGCAGTTTCTAACCAATGAATGGATATCATCAACACGTACTTTCACAGATTTGCACTGCTGTCTGATTACTAAGAAATCTCATAAATTTAATAGGACTTAGCCCCTAGCAACTGCATTCAGTGACACATAAAATGTATAATCAGTGAAATAATATTGTGCTGAATCTGTGTAAATAATTACAATAACAACTCCCATCACCCATACGGAGCATGGCCATGCCTGTGCTGGCTGAGGATGATAGAGGTTTTAGTTCAACTGGATAGCTCAGTGGTTTAGGTATCTAGCTGGGAAGCCAGAGATTTGAAGCTCGATCTCCCACTCAATCCTCCTTGTCAGGGGCTGAACTCAATGATCTATTGGGTCCTATCCAGCTCTACAGTTCTAAGATAAGACAAAAAAAATTGGGGGGGCACTGGATCAGAAATGTTAGTTTAGGGGAAATAGATAGGATAGAATGGTGGATATCTTTCATGGAATCCTAGATTTCAACGTACTCAACTGTGAAGTTACTTGGGTAAGCTTGGCTATTGCATGCATCAGGCAAATGCTCATGAAATTAGATAGATAGCTTTGGACCATGTACATCGGCCAGTTTAGGTGTGAAATGAAATTTGTGGTCTGATATCTTCCCATTTTTTGTTTAAAGCAGATGCAGATCTCCAAATTGAATTTGGCTTCTAGCATGGGAGGATGTATGTTTTCCAAACACTACAAGTAGTTTGAGGGAGATATCAGTTAGGAAAAAAGAGTGGGATGAAGGTTTGATCCCTCTACTCCAGTATGATTTTCCCAGTCTATGGTGGTGGTGGGTGCACATAACATTTGAAAGTTTAAAGTAAGAAGATCTCCAACAGCTCATCTAGTTTAGTTGTTAGCCTTCTCTCCCTTTCAGAGTTCTTATGCAAATGAAAAGGGAGGTATCTAAGAAATACTGCCCTCAATTTTACAGAGGAAGAATGGCATACAAATATGATTAATAAAATATTCACATTTTAATATGCTTTTTAGTTTGATAAATGGATTCAAATTTTAATGAAGTTTGTATGTTTAACTATCATTAGTTAAAATTGTTAGTAAACTTAAGAGACCAATGACCCTAACAGCCACTATACAGCTAAAATCTCTGAGAAAATAAAGCATTAATGATTTTTCTTTGTGATATCTATTTTCAGGTTTCTACTGTGTAATAAACCATACCCTTTAAGATGGAAAGTGATATAATTCCTGAAGCATCTTCACACTGTACTTTTGGGGAGATTAAAAGACGTGTGAGGGAGAAGAAGAACGGAGCTCTAAAAGTTACAAAGCTGAATGCTTCCCTTGCATCTAAAATTAAAACTAAGATAATAAGTGAGTGTAACATCTATCATATCTACAGAAATAAACACTTGTGTGGGCTTCCTAACTTATATCATTTTATATCAGGTGTAATCTTGCGATATTCTTGGACCTAGTTTCCTCAATGGAGGCACAAATATCTGCTGTAGCCACGAGTGCCTTTATCAACTTTGGTTGATTTTCCACCTACAACCTACTTGGATAAGAAATGCCTAACAACAGTGGTCCATGTGTTAGTAATCTCTAAAACAGACTACTGTTACACTCTGTACGTAGGGCTGCCTGTGAAAACAGTACAGAAACTTCAGCAGGTCCAAAACATAGTGGCCGGAATGATTACAGATATGATCATATGTTCCCCCCTCTTGGCACATCTTCATCAACTCCCTGTTAGTTTCTCTCCTCAATTTAAGGTGCTATTCATAACCTATAATGCACTTAACAGTTTGGAACAATGTTGGAAAAATTGTTGGCTGCAATCTTCCATGCAGCCTGATACTGGGTTTCAGTGGGAGAAGGAGTTTTCACTTTCACAAACTAAAGTGACTATCTTCTGCCACTAACCAATTAGCAAAGTCTTTTTTTTCCAGGACTTGAGGGAAGCCCCTTTCCTGTTTGATTGCTTCTAGACACTTTGTTTTGTTTTCTCTGCTTTCTGACCTCCAGACCATGCAGTCATTATGGAGGAGCTCTCTTCCACATGGGGGAGAATCCATCCTTCATTTTTTTATCCAATTACTCTTCTGATTGTAACTGAAGATCAACTGTAAGTGAAGGTGTTTTTCTTTTCTACTTAACCTACTTGTAAAGTGATTTTTATATACAAAGAGCTAGTTTCATTGTGAACAATGGAGCTGGCTGAAAGTTGGCATCCCCTTCATGTTTTTCCTGTGCTGCAACCGTTTGTGTTTTTGTTTTTTTTTACTTTACGCTCTGTCAACTAAAAGCAACTAACTAAAACATTCCTCCAACAGATATGTGGCAGAACATCTCTTACAGAATTGCTCTACCTGTCCCATCCACTCTTTGCAGTCCTTAATGTTAAGAATAGCAACACTCAAGGAGGTTAAAAAGCTAACGCTAGAAACCAACTAAACTTCCTTAGTTGTGGACCCTTCCCTTTGGAATAAGCTTTTTACAGAGGTTCACCATGTGCCATCCTAGTTTTTGGAAGCTAGTTAAGACAGAATCATATAAAGCTGCCTTCTCCTACTGTGAACAATGACCTGAGATGCTCAAATGGGTTTTATTTTAATGTATTTCTATTTAAAGGCAGGTTCATTGTTTTAGCTAGCAACAGCATGTATTGTATTTTTATTGCATTTATAGTATGATTTTAGTATATGTTGTAAGCTGCCCACTAATGGAGAGGTATAGAAGTGGAATGAATGAATGAATGAATGAATGAATGAATTATCTGCAACAATTGTTTTATTCTGTCAAGTCATTTCCACTTTACAACAATGCAGTGAATTAATGACCCATTAAGTGTCCTGTCATTAATATCTCAACTCAGGTATTGAAAACTAGAAATGGAAAGTAGGCTTATGAACCAGGATGATGTGAAAGCCACTATAATGTAGTACAGTGATTCCCAACTTTGGGTCCCTAGACATTTTTTAACTACAACTCCCAGAAATCTTGGACAGTGCTGGTACTTGTGAAGGCTTCAAGGAATTCTTGTCTAAGAACATCTGGGAAACCAAGGCTGGGAAGTGTATAGAGTTTCAGAGTACAAGTCAGAAAATCTGGGTTCAAATGCCTACTGGGCTATGTAAGCTCACTGATAGGTAGCAAAGGTAAAACCACTCCTTGTACACCTCACATACTTTGAAAGCCCTATGAGGGTCACCAAAAGTCAAAATAGCCTTGACAGCATGTAATAACAAGGATTTGCATTGTATCAAAGTGACCATAAATATATAAATGTGTAAAAGAGAACCAAATCAGGATATTTGTGCATATCCAGAGTAACATTGCAGCTCAGCAGAATTTCCTCCTCAAAACTCATTTTTTCCATGAAGCTCTTGGCATAAACAGCACTAAGACTAAGAATATAATTGAAACAACTACATAATGCTTCCCACTCCACTGACTATATTTTCTTTTGTTTTTCTCTGTGTTAAATTTTAGGTATTATGCATCTTGTTGTGAATTTCGTTGTATGTGTATATAGAATTGTAGATATTATGCATCTTGTTTTTTGTATTCTGTTACATGTCATGCACATTGAAGACACTACAAAACACTTTGAATAATTAATGTCTTTTTAAAATGTATACATAAAATATGCCAGCCCCATTAAATCACAGATGACTTATATTAAATTCCCACATGTGTTTATCTACTTAAAATTCAGTTTAAAAATAAAGGCCCTGATCCTTGAGTATTCTATGCATACATATGGGCTGAAATCCATTAGTAAGCTGTAACTAAAATAGGTCTAATTAATCAGTGGGGATTTGGTGAGTTAACACCTATGCTTCAATGGATCTACTCTAGTCATTACTTACTACTGCTCTACTGGATTTCAGCCATGGGGTTATATTGAGCACCAGGATAGTTTACTGGTCCTTTTCTTTCATCTCCCCACATTAGAAGCTTTTTTAATGTACTGAAAGTGACACAAAAACCTTCTCTAGAGGAGAGTGCAATTAAATACATGTGTTTGAATATCCTAAAAATAATGGCAATATGTTTCTGTGTTGAGTTGCATTCTTGTCCAGTCAATGAGTAATAAATTAATAAAGTACAACTTTTCATCAGATTCTAATAATATATACTGTATATATATTGTGCCCACTATCCTTCAAATTTTCATGGAATAACATTGTATATGAGGATGGTGTCTACTTTCTGCCTAAAATTAGTACATGTTATGTTTCATGGAAATTTACATTAAGATATTTATTTCTATAAAGTAGAAAATCTGGGGAAATAAATAGGAACAGTTGACTTGTAGTTAAATGATAGGCATGTTAAAGTTTATTTATAACACAGATACTGTACCATTTATAACACAGATACAGGGCAAATTGCAGCATTCTCTATCTTGCTTGAGATTGGTGAGTCTAAAATATCATTCTTTATAGAAAAGCAGGAATAACTTTTGCTATGTTCAGTATTTAATTCTGAGTTCAGTTTGTTTGTAAAAGAGAGTTATCCCTTAGAAATCAGAAGATCTAATGAAATGAGGGTGGTGGTGGTGTTTTTTTTAAAGTCTAATACTTGTGTTTTAAAAAACTTCTCGGTGGACAAGCATCTACTTTTTTCCTGTTCCAAATTATTAGAATGATAGTTGTTGTGGGTTTTTCGGGTTCTTTGGCCATGTTCTGAAGGTTGTTCTTCCTAACGTTTCACCAGTCTCTGTGGCCAGCATCTTCAGAGGACTGGAGTACCCTTCTTTTTAAAAAGCAGCATGTTTCTTTAGAATAAATGCACTGCTCTTAAAAAACAAAACAAAAAAACCACAACTAATTCTAAGACTATAATATAACAATGGCCTATAGATTGGAAACATTTAATTCATTTGCATCTCCTTGTTTAAAGGAGATGTCAATGATCACTGTACTACTCAAGGATCAAGGAATTATAAATGAATTATTTGATGAGACTGGAACACAAGATGGGGATGGATTCTAACTACTTATTTCCTTATGTCAAATAAATAGCATTCTATGTGTTTTAGATTAGATGCACAAAAAGTAAATCATGGCTAACCAAAGTAGCCTTGATTTGAGTGAAATTTACTCTAAGCATAACCATGCCTAGCGTCAACTCAGTTGTGTTTATGAGTGTGTGTTACATGACCTACAACACAAGAGTTACAAATTCACAAAGATAACACATTTTGTTGGAATATATCAGACAATTAAAAAAAACTGTTTTGCCTTAAAGACTGTTATCTTTCAATTTGAGCTCTTGTGGATCAACTCCACTTCATCAGTAACATGAAAGCTCAAATTTAAATATAACAGTCGTTAAGATGCCACAATGTTTTTGTTTATTTTGGTTTTGAGGGGTTTTTTGGGGGGTGCACAGACTAAAACAGCTACTTATTTGAAAACTACATTTTGTTGAAAGACACTGATACCTATTTGCTTTGTTGTGTTTTTAATCCATTATTATTATTATTATTATCTCTTCTTTATTTTACACAGATAGTTCCTCACTTTTAAAGACTTCACTGAAGATCAATAATAAAGCATTGGCTATGTCCCTCAGTATTGAGAAGGAAAATTATCGGAGGCTAAAAAATGAAAAACTGTTACTGCAGAAGGAAGTAGATGAGATGCACTTTCAGAATGTCTTACTTCGTGAAAAATTATTATGTCTGGTACATTCTAAAAAATATTGTGTGCAGTAACAACTCATTTGAAAATGGTTCATGTTGCCAAAATAAGGAATATTACTATTTTCATGGCCCTTTAAGAATACAAAGTGTCTTTATGAGTGTATGCTTTTGAGCAATCCATGATTGATACACTGCCATCTAGTTACTAGAACAAGTTGCACACTTGTAGCTTTCCGGAACAGGTGATAGTTGCTGGCTATGCTGTTGGGACTGATGGAGTTGGAGCTTTATGCTGTCATCATGTGTATTTGGTGTTTCATGATGAGGACAGCGTTAGGAAATCTTAGTTTCTGGGATTAGAACACCCGGAATCCTCCAGCTAACATGCATGCTGGCCATGCATTCTGAGAGTTACATATGCAGAATGTAACTTTCCCAAACTCAGGATGCAGAGATGTGTATACAATGTATATCTTGCCTCATCCTATTTTCTTTTGCTGACTCCCTCTACAACCAGGTGTTGAGGGCCTTAGTTCCATAGTCCCTGAACAGTTGATTTTGGAGGAATTTGTATGGAACCTCTGGATATAACCTGTCATTTTTACATCCTATTGTGTTTTCAGCTTGTTTGTCTCCCTTGCCTTTTCCACTTCTGTAGTGAGCACATATTGCCTACAGAGTAACCTTTCTGCCATTGCAACAAAGTCTTTTGTGGCATCTTACAAGCTTTAGAAATGCAGACATACTGTACAGTATTGTACTACAATGTAGCACTGCTATTCAGGCCATCTAAAATATTTTAGCACTGCTGTAGATTCACACAGCTGCCCCTCTGGAATTTTCTGCTGTTGTAGTGCTAGTGTATATCTTCTGTCCGCATTATATGGGTATTAGGATACAGCTAGATAGCCCAACTGTTCTAGACTGGTTCAAGACTGCCATAGAAATTCACTGGGGAATGGAACTCATAAAATCACTCCTTAAATATTTTACATACTTTGAAAAACCTATTAGGGTCACTGTAAATCAGACACAACTTTATGGCACATAACACATACAGTAAACATTTACTTCTTTGGTAAGAACAAAAGAGTTATGGTGCCTTACAGTCTAACTTTCTTATTTCGTTAAGAGCTTTTGTGGATCACAATCCACTTTCTCAAACACATGGAATATAATTGTTAGACCACAGGTTTATATATGCAGAGCACATGCTGGGGAGAACCAAGTGACATAGGAAAATGAGGGAGAACATTAGACTGGTAATGCATTTTTAGAATAATAGTGGCCCAGTAGCAATCAGTCAAAGTACTGACTTTCTGTTCTCAGCTAGTAAATGGTTGGAATGAGGTGGCATCATGTCAATAATTTTTTTACTTATATCTGTAACAAGGACTGTGGGGAAATCTGGAGTATTAATATATATAAGATGATGTATGAAATCCTCTTGCATAACTACATGGACATTAACAGTGATGATGTCATCAGACCATGAAGTTACAATTTAATTTAATTTAATTTACCACTGGTTCTCTGGAAGCAATTCCAATCCCAGCAGTGGCAATCTGGCAGCAATTTGCAGATGTTAAAGGCTCTTTTCACCCCCATCCTGAGGCTTCCAAAGGCTTCACCAGACCAAAAGGGATCCCTAGGTTGCCCTAGAAACTGAAAAGCAGGGAGTTACAAAACTTTAAAATAAGTTAAAGGGTAACATTGTGGGCTGACAACATCAACATTTATGTCCATATGGTTATGCTGCCAGGACTCCAGCCATTTTGTGGTAAGAATCCTTTTGAGGTACAGTGGTGCCTTGCATTACGACGTTACTTTGTTCCAGCCAAATCGATGTAGAACGAAAACATCGTAATGCGAAAATAAAAAGCCCATTGAAACGCATTGAAACCCCTTCAGTGTGTTCCAATGGGCTGGAAACTCACAGTCCAGTGAAGATTCTCCATAGGGTGGTCATTTTCGGTGCCTGTGCAGCAAGGTGCATTCTATGAATGTAGCTTGCTTCAGCTGTCTTATTTTCAAACCTTTGTTTGAAACTCATTTTCTTCATAACAATTGCTTTGAAATTTCTAACAGGAGATTGAAATATTCTAAATCAGTTTTTTGTGTATTGCCATTTCTTCTTTTTAATTTGTTTAAAATTTTCATCATAAAACAAACAAACAACAGTCAAAGGAATACAGATATGGGGGGAAACAAGGGGAAGTGGTTACAATAATACAATATATAGTATAGTCTTGGCTCCATGGCTGTATTATAATACTAAAATCCATAACATATGCTATATTAACATATGCTATATTCTGTATTCATGTTTGTTTCTGGGCCCAATCATAAAACATTTTCCAGCTTTCTTTAACATACGTTCACAGGTTCTCACGTAATGCCTCTAACAGGCTATCCATTTCTGCAATATCCAGTAACTGTTTTAATCAGCTCCTCCACCCTTGGGTTTTCCTGACTTTTCCATTTTGGGGCCCAAATCAGCCTTGCAGCTGTAAATATGTGCAACAACAATTTCTGGAATTATATTCAGCGGAAACATTTCTGGTTTAAAGGCTATTTTTGTTGTATAATTTATTGTGTAATATCTTTTCTCTCTACAAAATCTTTTTGCTCTATCGCATGTCCACCACATATGAAAA